ATTTGTCACAGTTAAATTTAAACTCATATGTATTTGAAAGTAAAAATGCAGTGAAACATACATTCTTTAGTATTCTTTCTTATTGTAAATTCTTTTATTATTATTATTATTTATTATTAGTAGTATTTTATTATTATTTTATTTACAATTGCCTACAATTTATATATTTATTGTCTATTATTACAATTATTATATTTATAATTAAATACAATGGTATAAAAACATAATTTTTTATACAAACAATTTGTTATAAATATATTATAAATAAATGTAGTTCTTATTATATAATTATAAATATAATTATAATACAAATGTTATTTTTATATAATAATTATAATTTCAAATATTCACCATTTGCATTATATAATTATATAATTTTATTATTATTATTCATATTTAATATTAAATTCTATTTGTTAGAATCATAGTTTTATCTTGTAATACAATTACTTTAATACAATTTTCATTTATATTACAATGCATTTAAAATATATGTATTTTTTAAGTTAAAATGCCATAGAACAAATAAAATAACATCCTTATCTTTCCAAAATCTGTCCGAATCTTTATTCTCAAATCACTTCAGACAGTTTATCTACAAAGGAGGGAAAAAAAGGATTAATCTTTGTATTTAAAAGGGGGAGAAAAAAGAAAAGGGGGAGAAAAAAGTAAATAATCAAATGTTCAAAGTTAATATTGATTTTATCAAACACGTGTAAGCGGTTTAAAAGCATTGCCAGATAAATCTACCTGTGCTCTATGATCTAAACCCGGTGACATTCACATAGTTTATTATAATGACAGCCAAGCCAAAACAAACAAATGAACAAACAAAGTGTTCAAATCATCATTGATCAAGTGTATTGCTAAATGTTGATGGGTCATTCCGTGTCAACTCAACCAGAGGTCCCCAGCTCAAATTCTTGATTTTGCTAATATTTTTTCTGAAGCAAGATAAACATGTATTGTGATGATAGCCAGAATATGGAACTTTATGAATATTTTGTAGTGGGGGGTCAAAATGGCAACTTTCACCTGAGATTCAAGGCCAAATTACAAGGGGGTAAAAATGATTTCAGAAAGATGGCAGCATCATAATGTTATTTTTACACAGAGATTAGTAGGTCTATTATGCCGAGTTCACACTGCACGATTTTAGCCCGATTTTTCACTCGCCGACAGGTTTTGCGAAATCGCCGACAAATGCCCGAAATCGGAGGAAAATTGGTGCTAGTTCACGCGAGTGACGGGGAGGAGTTATAGACCAGAATATCAGTATTTTAAAGGGGTCATATAATGCTATTTTAAAGATCATTATTTGGTGTATTTGGTGTAACAGAATATGTTGACATGCTGTTGACTTTAGCAATCTTTGTTGCGTTATGTGCCAATGGTGATACATTTTAAAGCACAGCCACCACAAAATCAGACTTCAGCACCTCTTTTTACTTTGAGATGGTTCTGATGTTAAATACAGATTTAAAATCATAACAAGAAATAGTTTAATAGCCATGATACTGTTTTTGAAATCAAATCTTTCTATGACTGGAAACTCTGGCATCTAACAATGCCTTGGGGAATAAACCGTTAATCTTAAAAAAAAATAAAGCATATACATAAACCTAAATAGGAAATAAAACAGTTATTGAATAAGCATGTCCTATTCTGTGTTCTAAACTCCCGGGGTCAGTTGTTCAAAACGTTTAATCAGGATCAGAATGATCTGGATTTAGAAAATCAGGATCAGGTAACCCATCTTACTTTTGTACCGGTTTTTCAAAGCAAAATTTGATTTTATCACCCTGATCCAGATACACACTTTTTCAGATTTCCAAATCTGGATTACTAGTGCTCTACTACGGAGCCCCTATAAAGGGACATGGTGATGGAGGGAAAAATGCCAATGTTTTGCATTCTAGTTTTGCATTGCATTTACACAAATTACTACTTCTGACTGGTCCATTTCTGATGATTGTGCCAATGTAGTTTACAATCAGTGATTAACATTTAAAGGGTTAGTTCACCCAAAAATGAAAATTGGCTTGTGTTTTACTCGCCCTCGAAGCATCCTAGGTGTATATGACTTTCTTCTTTCAGACGAATCCAGTCGGAGTTATATTAAAAATTGTCCTGGCTATTCCAAGCTCTATCATTGCAGGCAGCGGGTGTTGCAGTTGAACAGTCCACAAGTCGTCAAATAAAGCGCGCGCATTCATAATAAAACGTGCCTCACACGGCTCCGGGGAGTGAATAAAGGCCTCCTGTAGTGAATCCATGCGTTTTTGTAAGAAAAATATCCATATTTCAAACGTAATAAACACTTTTCTTTCACTTCCGTTATCTGTCATAAGCGTAAGGCGTTCCGGTGGAAGGCGTATGACGTATGCGCAGCGCGCGCCCCTCTGAGATATGCTAGTCTCGCAAGTTTGTTTATAGGAGCAAAGGAAGCAAAGTTTCCTTACTTTAGCAAAGGAAAACCAGTCTCCTCTTGGTTTATATCGAAATCCTCTGAGATTTTTCTTTGCAAATCTTCGGTTTGTACTTCTAATTCGTGACCGGCGTTTTGTTTTGTTGTCTTTCCGCATTCGTTACTAATCACGCAATGCCGACGTGCTACGTCATCCGCCAGCACGGCTTTCGCATATGACAGTTGGCGGAAGTGATATAAAAGTGTTCATTACGTTTGAAATATGGATATTTTTCTTACAAAAACGCATGGATTCACTACAGGAGGCCTTTATTCACTCCCCGGAGCCGTGTAAAGCACGTTTTGTTATGGATGCGCGCGCTTTATTTGACGACTTGTGGATTGTTCAATTACAACACGCTGATTGCAATGATAGAGCTTGGAATAGCCAGGACAATTTTTTATATAACTCCGACTGGATTCGTCTGAAAGAAGAAAGTCATATACACCTAGGATGCTTCGAGGGTGAGTAAAACACAAGCCAATTTTCATTTTTGGGTGAACTAACTATAATTCCGTTACAACTAGTTACTCCCCGACACTGATGACAGAATAGAGCAGAATAACATCTCTACACCTTCACCTGAAAAATAAAGTTGTGAGGCGAATCATTGACATTTGCCTTCAGATCAAACTCACTCAAGGGGTCGCAGGGGCCTCTGAGGTCCGAGTTACTCAGCCAAACATTACTTTACGAGCATTAGCTATGATCTGTCAACACGAGCTGATCAAATAAGTGTTGAGCACACAAGCGCTGATTTGATCTGGGGCAGCTCGTGTTTAGCGGTGTGTCTCTGTTCTACAATGTGGCACGGACTCAAGGTGCAAAGTTGCAATGACAACAACATGATGTGCGGACTGATGCTAAAAGTGTCATCAAGGGCCATTAAAAATACGCTCTTGTACAAATACGCTAGGTAAACGAGTTATGTAAGATAATCCGATGTAATTGAGGTGAAGTTCCAGCAGGTGGCAGCAAAGCTTGTATTATAGCAGTTCATTGTCTCTTCTCCAGTAATTTTTCAGTTCACCCACTGTATGTGTGTAATAATATAATATAATATAATATAATATTTTTGCTACATATAATCACTTAATATTTGTATAGTATGTTTCCACTGGCCTGAACCTATTACTCCATGTCTCTATATATTGAAGTACTGATAAGACTAGATATAGACTGTCATAAACATACTCTGTGTTTATTGCTATGAGTCTTATTTTTTTTAAGTGTATTTTATCTGTTTAACTGTAAATCCCTGGACTACTGATGCAAGTAGGCGCTCTAACATGCATGTAGTCATACTATAGAAAATGTCTGTACCACATTTGACCCCACAATAAAAGAGAAACAAGTAGGAAATAGTGTTTTACACTATTACACACATATATGCACACACACACACAAATGAATGAATGAATGAATGAATGAGGCATTTATATAGCGCTTTATTGTGTATTGCTGTACACCCAAAGCGCTTTACAGTCACGAGGGAGTCTCTTCCTCAACCACCACCAGTGTACAGCATCCACTTGGATGATGCGACGGCAGCCACAGCACAATAGCGCCAGTGCGCTCACCACACACCAGCTACAGGTGGAGTGGAGAGAGAGATAGAGCCAGTCAAGTGGATGGGAATTATTAGGAGGCCATGATTGACAAGGGCCAGTGGCGGCAATTTGGCCACTCTTGCCAGTCTTAGGGCTTCAACAACTGAAAGCAAGGCAGTCTCGGTCGAATGTCCACTTCTGAAGCCAGATTGAGTGCTGTCCAGGAGGTTGTTCTGTGTGAGAAAGGCTGAGACTTGGTTGAACACAACTTGTTCAAGTGTTTTTGCAATGAAAGGAAGAAGGGAAGGTCTGTAGTTCTCTAAAAGAGTTGGGTTAAGAGTGGGTTTCTTAAGAAGTGGGGTTGTTGAGGGAAAAACACCAGTGTGAAGGGATGTGTTAACGATGTGAGTGAGTGCAGGTACAACGGCAGAATAAATGGCTTGAAGGAGATGATATGGAATAGGATCAAGCAGACAAGTAGTAGGATGATTGAAAAGGATGAGTTTAGAGACTTCTGCCTCAGAGAGTGGAGAGAAGGATGAAAACGAGTGTATGTTTGCTGGTAAGATGGATGGTCTTGACAGATTGTGGTGTGGAAAATTGGTGGTTTTACTGATGGTTTTAATTGTATTAATGAAGAATGTAAACTTTTAAAATGAAATATTTATATAAATTAAATAATATATAATTAAATATTACATTTATATAATAAATATTTAACTTTATTTGCCTTATAATTTAAAATTTGTGTTTAAATGCGCTTAATTTTTTATAGAAATGGCATTTAAGGATTTTTCAGTATTCAAAAAGGCATTGTTTTGTTTATGCAAAATACAATTTTATTTTCCTTTTGATTTTAGAGTGAAATTTGAGCTGGATATTTTTTTTGTGAGATTCATACCCTTAAAAAAGACTAAATAATAATTTTGCATTACTGTTTATGCCACTTAACATAAGGCAAAAGCTGCTTTAAGAAGGGAACTTGAGAATGAAATTAATTTATCTTTATTCTATTATAATAAGCCCAGAAATAATCAACAATAAAACCTTATATACAAATCATAGCGAAAAGAAGCGGTTGCGAAGAGCACATGCAGGTCAGAGCGGCACATACAGTACAGTACAGTATACAGTATATCAACTTCAGCAAAATAACAAATACACATCAGTAACAAACCACATGATGTTCAGGCAAACATCAGAGAGACAGGAAGAAAAGAAGTCAGAAACTCACAGGACACTGACATTCATAAGTTAATCATGTAATTTCTTTTAGTACCAGTAGCAGTATCATTCGCTACAATACTTTGGCTAATTTCATGGTTAGTTCACTTTTAAATCTATTCAGGGGTTTCCATTAAAATAAGTGGATTTGCAGTACTTTGTACTCAAAAAGTGAGGGGTTAGTTTTTCTGCAGTTTTAGTACAATATCTTCATTTTAATGCATTTTAATGTAGTTACCATATATTGAATTATTCTTTTTACGTATGGTGCAATATTCAATCAATTTGGTATGATATTGCAAGAAAAATCTCAGTTCTGATTACATAAAATGATCAAATCTTGTATTTTTTCTCTTCACTTATGAATTTGGTCTTTTTTTACAATGCTGTAAGAAATGTAAATCTTATTTTTGATGCTAAAATCTATTTTTACACCCCTTTCATCCTTAAAATGGGTTGTTTCAGAATGGCTATGTTCAGAAAACAATACTAACAAACATTACAGCATACTGCACACTTTACACTGTATACTGCTTAATATAAAAAATAGTACACATTATGCATTATGATAAACATTTCAAACAGTAGTTTGCTGCATTATTGTCACATGACTTCTAGTTTCATCTCAGAAATAAAAATAGTTATTTTGAATCTGTTTTTTTTGGGAATTGTTTTCATTTTTTGGCAGTCCAGAGATGAGCTGTGTAAAGTCAAGTCAAGTGCATTGCATTCTGGGATACCCATGTGTTGTGCTCCATTGTCATCTGGGTTTCTGCACAAACAAAATACACACTGTGCACAGTATATATACTGCATACTGCAGAAATAGTACGAGTAGTGTGATAGTATGTCATTCCGAACACAGGCTTTCTGAATCAGTCGCTGAAGGGTCTTTGTTTTCAGTGCAGTGCTGTTGTGAGGAAAGCGAGTGAATGAAAGAGCTGAGCCTCTCAGGTGGAGTGCGAGAAAGAGACAAAAGCGGTTTTCTTGGATTGATTTGAAGCAAACGTTTCCAGTAAGATTGCTGCTCCCTGCTGATTGGTCCTGCAGTTCTTGGCTGGGTCATGTGATCCCTATGGACCACACATGGGGGGGGAGACAGCAGACGAACAGATGCTGCCCTCTAGAGGTAATCCAGCTCAAGTGCGTGACTCAACGCCTCCAGATCCGCCCGGCACGTCACTCTCCAGAACGGCATGTTCTTCTGCAGGACATCACAAAGTAACATTACAATTTAATTGTAATGATACCTAGCAGTAGCTGATATTACAGAAAAAGTAACCATTTAATGGCACAGTCATATGTCATATGACTGTGTCATATATGTTTGATATATATATGTCAATGTCATATATGTTTATGCATGCATGCATGCATGTATGTATGTAAAGGTTTCTCCCCCTTTTTAAATACCTTTTTTTAAAAACTGTCTGAAAAGTATTTTGAGGATAAAAATTTGGATATATTTGAAAGGATAAGGCCTTTAATACATAATTTTGTTTGTTTAAATGCATTTTAATATTAAAAAACACTTGATTAGTATTGCGATTATAAATGATAATAATAATAAAAACGATTATAAAATAAAAGTATCTTTTTTTAATATAAATATATAGATATTTAAATATTATAAAATATTTTTTTATAAAAACTGAATATTAAAATTAATTCTAATATGAATTATATTTACATATTTTTAATAATATAACTTATTATAAAATACTATGATAATATAAATGAACAATGCACAATTTCTTTTAATATTTTCAAATATATTTCAAATATTTATTATTATAAAGACAATAATATTGAATAGTATAACAATCTATTGAACTATAATTAAAAATGTAATTTTTTTTAAATAATATAAAAGCTAATAAAAGTGACTGAATTATAAAATAAAACTAGTATTATTACAAATATAAATATATCATGTTTAATATTTTAATAATATATAGATCTTTATTCTTTTTTAAATGTATACTGGATTTTTTTTGTTGTTGCCCAAAACAGTATGCATTCACTTAGCCTTTGTTAATAAAAAGAGGCCATGTTTCTTTTTACAATCCCATACTACAGTACTCATTCAGCATGTGTTTTGCCATTAATCCTTCATACCTTCTTGGCGACCGTCTCCTCCTCAACTCCATCCCCTACAACCACATACACGGCTCTGCGGCCGAACCTCTGGGTCACGCGCTCAAAGCAGCTTTCTTTACCTAGAACAGGCACACGACGTTAACAATTCTGTTTCTAGATCAGGAAAACTTTCTGAAATGCAGCGTTTGAAGAGGCGGCCAACCTGTTTTGGTGGCACTGTAGATGTTCTCGATGGGAAAAGCTCCTCCAAGCCCATAGAGAAGTACTTTGGAGAGCGCTGGAATCAGCTGCGTGGTGGTGACCATCACGTTCACACAGTTCGGTCTGTGAGAGGGAACATATGTAAGTAACTCATTCACAAAAATGAAGGACTCTTAAAGGAATACTGCAGTCATAAATACAAATCTGGTCTGTATTTAGTTGAGCTGTTTCTCTGTAAAAACATACAGATTTAGAGCTTTGATGGAGGGGAAGATTTTAGAGAAAAAAAGGCTTCATTTGCATTTATTTCTTATGGAAGCTTATTTTAGCCATGGAATAAAAAAAAAAAGAATTGTGAGATACAAACTCAATTGTGAAATATAATCTAAGAATTGTGAAATAAAGTCATAACTGCAAAAAATAAACTCAATATTAACTCACAATTACAAGATATAAATTCAGAATTGCAAAATATAAACTCATAATTGTGAAATACAATCTCAATTGTGAAACATAACTCATATTTGCAAAATATAATCTCATAATTGTGAAAATTAACTCATAATTACAAGACATAACAATTGCGAAATATAACTCATAACTGCAAAATATAATCTCATAATTGTGAAATATAACTCAGTCACAAAATATAAACTCATAATTGCAAGATATACAGTAATCTCATATTTGTGAAATATAACTAATAATTGCGAGACATGAACATAATTGCAAGATATAATCTCATAATTGCGAAATATAAACTCATAATTGCAAAATCCAAATTGGGAGATGTAAACTTGCAATTGCAATAAATAAAATAAAAATGAGTATTGCAAAAAAAAAAAGTTGCAATTATCTACATTTTTTATTCCATTGGGGAAAACAAAAAACAGAATTATAAGATGTAACCTTAGATTAAAAAAAAAAAAAAGGCAGATTTGTTATGATTTGTATTATTTGATTATTCTGTGGTGAAAATAAACTTCCATAGTTTCTATCGTATGGCTTCAGAGCACTGTTCATATGGACTACATTTATGATGGCTTTTCGTTCTTTTTGGATCTTGACAGGTTCTGGTCACTACATAGATTTCATTGAAAAGCAGCTCAGATGTTCTGCTAAACCTCACTTTCATGTTAAATAAGTAAAATAAGTCATGAGACAGAAATATGTTGTGCTATTAATCATCATCTGTCAGTGTCATCAATCTTTGCTTGCCAAAACCTATTATGTTTGAGTGACACAAAACTGCTGTAAAGTAAGTCTATTGTTAAAGGAATATTCCAGGTTCAGTATCTGTGGCACGCTGTGGATTACCACAGACGCTAGTTTCTGCTCTTGAACTCTTGTTTATTTAAGCTGGAATATTGCTGTGTTATCGTATGTGTGCTGTGCTCACCTGGAGTTGATGAGAGCGAGAGCTTTGAGTGCCTGCGTCAGCCACAGATCCGTCAAAACCTCCATCTCCCGCCTCAGCTGAAGCCACTCTTCCCGCTTCGGACTGCCCAGCAAACCTGCAAAACAACAGCAACCACGAACCATTCACAAAACCCATTCAAGATCCAGCTGATCATCACACTGAAGATTCATGCATGAAACCAATTAATGAATGTGGCTTCTGAGAATCCAAAAATGACAGTAAGAAATGTCACCAACTGGCCATGACTTATAGTGATTTTACAGGGTTGTTTGGCACGGAGCGAACTAAGTGGAGTGCGTAAAAACATCTTAAAACCAGTGTAACACATGCTGCTTTTATAACCACAACAATAAAATGTACAATTAATTATTTGTTTTTTTCTAAATAATTTAATATTAAATAATATTTCATAAGAATTTCTTGAACTACAGGCACTTTTATGTTCCAGTGTTTGTTTGTTTGTTCTAATTAAAACAAGAAAAAAGTTAAAAAAAATTCTAATATGATGTACAACAAATAATTTGGTTTATTCTGACTATTGTAATATTAAATCATATTTAATAATCATTGAACTACAGGCACTTTTATGTTCCAGTGTTTGTTTGTTTGTTCTAATTAAAACAAGAAAAAAGTTAAAAAAAATTCTAATATGATGTACAACAAATAATTTGGTTTATTCTGACTATTGTAATATTAAATCATATTTAATAATCATTGAACTACAGGCACTTTTATGTTCCAGTGTTTGTTTGTTTATTTGTTCTAATTAAAACAAGAAAAAAGTCAAAAATGTTTCTAGTATCATATACAACAAATAATTTGGTTTATTCTGACTATTTTTATATTAAATCATATTTAATAATCATTTCTTGAACTACAGGCACTTTTATGTTCCCTTTTTTAATTTCAAGAAAAAATCATTTATTCTTTTAATAAATTTAATTTATTTATTCATTTATTTTTACTTCATTTCAAAGAACTGAAAATCCATAATAAATATTATTTTCTTTTACAGTTTTACCTATTACATATTTAATGTATTTAGAACGTCACAAACTACAACTGTCCAAATACATTTTTTACTTGTCTGTATTTATTTTCATAAAATCCCACAGGGCCAAAGGTAGCCAATAGCTGAAACGTCCAATTCATACAGTATTTAAATAAATAAATGTACTTAAATATTACACAAACATATGTATTGCATATCTAAATAAAAATGTATATTAATATTCATTATAATTAATTAATCAATTAATTACATTGCTCTCATCAACAATAAAATGCTATTAAAATATTACTTGCTGCAAGAATTGTTGCAATATTATTTCTTGTTACGGTCAACAACAATAATAATATTATTACTATATTATTACTTTATATCTGTTAATAGTTCTTCAGTCTAACTGTACAGTGTTTACAGTTGATGTGTTAATATAGAAGTAAACTGACATGCGGCTACAGCTGTGTGTACTTCAGCTCTTTTACAACGGCTTCCAGCATGATTTGACCAATCAGATTGGAGAACAGGATCTATCTGTTGTGTACTAGTCATATCTGGCCCTAATTCTGCTTGTACTCATAGCTGTGAAAGCAGGGGTGTGGAATGCTGCGGGGTTCTCTTCTCACCTCCTACATTGTTCTTGTAGGTGTTGTAGATCTCTTTGACTCTGCGGTAGCGGAAGGCAAGTTTCCTCATCCAGTCGACCCCGCCGTGAACACCTGAGCCCAAGCAGAGCGTGCCTCCACCTGCTGGGCTCTGGAAGCCATCCGTGCCAAAGTTATACGTGCTGCAAGTACAGACACACACACACACACACACACACGGTCAGCTTCAGATCCGCTCCACACCTTCTGACATGCTCCTAAAAGTCTGATTAATGTCCATCGTAAAATGTCTGGAAGCAGAGAGAGAGTCTGCCTACAAACTCTGATAAGAAACTATAATGTTTGATAACCAGTGTGTCAGCATGCCGTTATATTAAAGATTATAGCTCACCTAAAAATTAAAATTGTGCCATAATTTATTCATCCTCTTGTCATTCCATAAAAGGAGATTCGATAAAAAAAAATGTCCCTGCTTCTTTTTTCATATAGCATCAATTCATATTCAGTAAGAAAATAAATAAATAAATAGGAATCTGTAAATTAAAACAAAAAAAAATTAAAGATTTTAAAATAAATTAAATAATAGGATGTTTACATAATTTAATATGTTTACAGATATTTACATCATTTAAATCATGTAATAATTTTTGGAGTGATTTTGCACTTAAAAATATTGCTGCTTTTTTTCACAAATTGAAAAATAAAATCAATAAATTGAAATAAGATATTTTCAGTAAAACCAATTAAAAATTAAAAAATAAACTGAGTTTTTTATTTAAAAAAGAATCCTGCAGATATTTATATATATATATATATATATATATATAGCATCAGTTCATAACTAAATAACTAATAAAGTGGGGAAAAAAGTCAGTACATTTCAGTAAAAAAATCAATAAAATAATTTAAAATAAATTGAAATAACATATATTTAATAAAACATAGATTGCTTTTAGGGTACTTTTTGGAATATTTTTGTACTTTTGGAGCTTTGAAAAAATATTCCTGTTGCTTTTTCATATAGGATCAGTTCATAGTAAATAAATAAACTGAATAAATAAATAAATAATTTAAAATAAAACATTTACAAAATCATATAGACTGCTTTTATAGTACATTTTCTGAGTATTTTTTTCCTTTTCGAACTTTAAAAATATTCCTGTTGCTTTTTCATATAGGATCAGTTCATAGTAATTAATTTTAAAAAATGAAACAAAAATAATTTTTCAGTAAAAATCAATAAAAGATTTAAAAAAAAAAAGGATGTTCACTCAATTATATAGACTGCTTTTATGGTACTTTTTTGGAGTATTAATATGGGTTTGGAATAAAAGGGTGAGTAAATAATGACAGAAATGTAATTTTCAGAGGACTGTTCATTTAATAACTCCGTAGACGTGCTCTTAAATGTGTGATTAATGTCCATCGTAAAACGTCTGGAAGCAGAGCGAAGGCTTGCCTCAAAACTATGATAAAAACCAACAACGTTTAATACTCAATATGTCAGCAGCATGAAGTACAGGATCCCTTTACGGCCCATAATATCTGTTTTATTGGAAATGCTCATATTGTTGCTCGCTGTGCTAGATGAAGGAAAGTCATACTCTACCTCAAGTCCTGCCCATTGTCATCCGAGGCCACATCATCGATGTGAACTTGGTCACATTCCTGGGAAATGAAAGGAAAGCAGATACGCATGAGGCGGATATACGTTACAGCCGTGTAAAGTGATGTACTGTGTATAGACAGGTTCACCCGCCGCCGAGCCTCGGGGAACGATGGTGAGAGCGAGAGTGAAATATTAAAAAAGACAAACAACAAAAAAGCAAAACCAGGCCACCGCGACCCAAGACATCCAGGCGCCTTTAACGCTGGAGGGTTAAAGATGGTAACACCATCTAAACCCGATATTGGACGTTAATTAACGCTTTTGTCTTGGCTGGGTTTGTGCGTATGGCTGCCAATATACACGAATTACTCCAGATCATTATCTAGCGTGCTTCTCCTTGCTGTTTTAGCAACACTTGCAAATTTGATAAAAATTTGGATTCGAATTCGCAGAAACAATTTCTCAGCCTTCAGCACTGGCAAAACACATTCATGCTCTAACTATTGTTTTTCATATTTTCACAGATATGACTCAACACATCATGTTTATCTTAATAATCTCATGTTGCCGACCTCCCACTGACTTCTGTTGTTCTTAAATGACTGTAATTATAACTAGATTTTTCTCATTTGTGACCCTGGAGCACAAAAGCAGTCATAAGTAGCAAAAGCCAAAAATACATTGTATGGGTCAAAATGATCAATTTTTCTTTTATGCCAAAAATCATTAGGATATTAAATAAAGATCATGTTCCATGAAGATATTTTGTAAATGTCCTACTGTAAATATATAAAAACGTCATTTTTGATTAGTAATATGCATTGCTAAGAACTTCATTTGGACAACTTTAAAGCTGATTTTCTCAATATTTAGATTTTTTTGTACCCTCAGATTCTAGATTTTCAAATAGTTGCATCTCAGCCAAATATTGTCCTATCCTAACAAACCATACATCAATGGAAAGCTTATTTATTCAGCTTTCATGTGTAAATTTAAAAAAATTGACCCTTATGACTGGTTTTGTGGTCCAAGGTCACATTTTTCTCGTCTTTTTTTAAATAGAACTAGACTTTCACATATACTATATACTGCATATTTCTATATACACTGCTTTTTTTAGTAGAAGTAGACTTTCATTGTGTTTTTTTTTTTTCAGGATTTTTGATTAATAAAGTTCAAAAGAAACATTTGGAGCATTTATTTGAAATATAATTTTTTTTTTAAAAACATTATAAATATCTTTGGTATCAATTTACAGTGTCCTTGCTGAATAATAATTAATTTATAAAAAAAAAATAAACAGTTTCATTGTAACTATTTTGCTACTCTGATATCTTCTCTACCAAACATTAATTTAATGGAGTGTATTTACACTAAGTGCAAATAGGCCGTCTTGTTGGCAGAGGCTATTTACACTAACTCCGCCCACCAACGTGTGATTGATCTAGTCAACACAACAAAAGATGACTTGAATGTTTCCAATGATGAATGTTTTCCATCTTAGAAACATTGCCAAGTTACGAAACATGTTACCTGTTTCTGATGCAGAAAAGCTAGTTCATGCATTCATGACCTCTAGACTGGACTATTGTAATGCACTGCTAGCTGGTTGTCCTGCATCTGAACACATCATTTTTTGCTTAGTTGGAGCAGCAGCTACACTAATTTTTCTCTATTGCCTTCTAACTGTTTCTACTAGCAATTACACAAGCTTCAGTCTGGATCCAGCCCTTACAAAGACCTGAGACGACCGAACACCTGAGAAGAGATGATGCCAACCCTCAGACAACATACAAAACTACCAAATATTGCATTACATGACATTAACTAACTGCCATATGGACATCAACTTGAGATAGTCACCACTGATAAGCTACCACTAAATATAATGTAGAAACTTTCTGTAAAGCTGCTTTGCAACGATTTGCATCGTGAAAAGCGCTATACAAATAAACTTGAATTGAATTGAATGACTGGTAATCATCAGCTCCGGTGGTGTAGATGTTAAAGCGCGGACCGTAGTCTTTTTGAAACGATCGACCCGAGTTCTAACCTGCCTTTCGCCGAACTTTTTTCCTCTCTATCCAAATCTCACATCACATCGGAACGGCATTTCTTTTCAATAAAAATTAAGGAAATAATTGAAAAGTTGAAAATAATGTATCGGGTACACTCTTAAATATAAAGGTGCTTCACAATGCCATAGAATAACCGTTTTGTCTAAATGGTTCCATAAAGAACCTTTAACATCTGAAGAACCTTTACGTTTCACAAAAGCTTCTTTGTGGCGAAAGAAGGTTCTTCAGATTACAAAAAGGTAAGAAAGAGATGGTTCTTTAAAGAACCTTTGACTGAATGGTTCTTTGTGAAACCAAAAATGGTTCTTCTATGGCATCGCTGTGAAGAACCTTTTGAAGCACCTTTATTATTAAGAGTGTAGGTGTAGGGAGGGCTTTATTGTACCAATAAGGTGGCATCCATTTAATAATTTGAATTAATATTACAATTTACACTCAAAATACATTATTATTGCGTTCTGTTTTATAATGTACTACAATACTGAGGTGCAGATAATTGCCACTATTTGCAATAAGTTGTATAAATAGCAGAAAATCCTACTATTTTAACAGTGTAAATAGAATCTTAGAAGCTGCCTTAATTAAATTTTTCTCATAAAATATGTTTCTAGTAATTTAAAACGATTGCAATAATAAAACTACATCAATAAAAGATATATATTTATTTGAGGTTGAATTTTTTTTAACATTATAAATGTATTTGGTAACACTTTTAACCACTTTATTATAACTATTTATATTTTAATAGTTTCATTATAACTATTCTGCTACTCAGATACATTCTCTACCAAACATTAATTTTTCTCAGAATATTTCTAGTAAAAATAAATTATTAAACAATTCCAATAATAAAATAATTCCATTGCTTTTTGTTGTTGTTGTTGTTGTTTTGTTAATGCTTGACAGACGTGGTCACTCTTGAACTATTCTGCTACTCTCTACCAAACATTAATTAATTTTTTCTGATTAATTAAAGCATTAAATGACCAAGTTAGGCCATTAATCACATGCATTTCTAAGCTGTTGACCCCTGTGCGGTTATTTTGCCGGCGGCAGCTTTCTGTTCCCCAGCTGACACGTTTGAATAGACTGAACTCTCAGTGTTTGAATGCTGAATGATGCCTTGCACTATTTGAGTGCAATTACAGGGAAAACAGAACAAGAGGGAAGGGGGCCGTCATTAAAACCTGCTCAAGAAATAATGGTGTGTGTGCCCTCCTCCCCTGGGCTGTTGTTCCTCCCCGGGACAAATTTTCTTTTCAGTGGCAGCCACACACCCCTAATTAAGACCTCAGATGCTGTCAGGATTTCTGCTGCACCTCCTCGAAAGCTTTTAGAGAATCTAATCCCTCCTTTCTTCATGCAGAGGGCAAACTGAGGTCTTTCACACACTGACTCTGCATTACTGTCAGGTCATGGACTGTTGAACAAACACACATAAACAGCTCTAAATTCACTTTTTAAATAAATAATACATATTTCTTATCAGCCATGAATACGTGTTTTGCCTTATATACCCTACTTTTTTAGAAGTTTGGAGCCGGTAAGCTTTTGTAATGTTTTTGAACGAAGTCTCTTCTGCTCATCAAGGTTGTATTTATTTGATCAGTAATACTGTAAAAACATTGATTTATTATTACAATTTAATATAATTGTTTTCTATGTGAATGTATTGTAAAATGTAATTGATTCCTGTGATGCGCAGCTGAATTTTCAGCATCATTACTCCAGTCTACAGTGTCACATGATCTTCAGATATCATTCTAATATGCTGATTTGCTGCTCAAGAAACATTTCTGATTATTATCAATGTTTAAAACAGTTTTGCGGCTTCACGTTTTTTTTGTGGAAACTGTGATACGTTTTATTTTTCAGGATTCTTTGATGAATATAAAGTTCAGAAGGACAGCATTTATTTGAAATAGAAATCTTGTATAGCATTATAAATATCCCTAGTGTCACTTTTGATCAAATTAATGCATGCTTGCTGAATAAAATTACACAATTCTTTTTTTGAAAACCTTTAAATAGTAATGTACATATTTTAAGTAGTCTTTATGATGAATTATTTAGCTGTTTCTTTGCATAATTGTGACAAACAGAAAAAGCCAGTTTCTGCAGCTGTCACAAAAACATGAAGACACATCATGATTTCTTCCTCATATTTTAGGAGTTCTACTGGAGAATCTGAGAGGTGAAGATTCCTACCAATAAGAGAAGTTTGTTATGTGGCTCTATAGATTACTTGATTCTGATTGGCCAGTTGCAACATTCTGCAGTAAATGTTTTATTTATGAATTGACATGGGACATTTGTGCTAGTTTCGTGTCTCATATCTATGGAAGCTTTTTTCTGCCAAGGAATTTTAAAAAAAGTAAATATGAGTTTATATCTCACAACTGACTGTTCGAGAAAAACCTGCCCTTCTTAGTTATTGTTGCTATGTCCGACAAGCCATTCCGCTCTCACATTACACATCATGTTCTCACGCAGTAAAAAATACATCACGGAGCAAAGAGGAAACTGACAACATGCAGACAGACAAGACAGAGCACGTTACTTCTGGTATGAAACAAGATCTCAGCTTTCAAATTTTTACGAAATTCAAACAATAAATTCAGTTTTGTGGCTCTTTAATGTGTAAAGCGGTACACTTGAACCAAACGTCTTTTCATATTTAGCTGAAGCATGAAATGAACATGAATGAACATCAGAACTTATTTTATTTCAACCACAGAAAGACGTCAACACACAATATTCTTCAAGTTCAAGTCCACCGAAGTTAATCTACTCTCCTGTCTGATTTGTTTGTTGGGCAAGATGGCGGATTCGGCATTATGATTGGTCAGATCGCCTGTCAATCAAGCTCTTTGTGAACGGTCAATTCAGACCTTTTTCTCAGAATTGCGAGTTATAAAGGTATAAACTTTTTTTTTTTTTTATCAGAATTTTCACCTTTTTTCCTTTTTTCCCCTCAAAATCGTGAGTTTATAAAAGGTTGCAATTTGCAATTCTGAGAAAAAGTTTATCTCTCACAATTTTGACTTTTTTTTTCAAAAGTCAATTCAAGAGTTCAATTCTGTTTTTTAATGCCACTGAAAAAGTGCATGGCAGTTAATTACAAGTTTTTATCTCACAATTAAGACTTTATTTTTTTTTTTATATGAGAATGTTGCAAATGAGTTGAGTTGCAATTCTATATTTTTTTTCTGAGAATTATGAGAAAATAAGATAATTACCTTTTTTATTTTTATTTTTTTTTATCCCAAGCTTCCATACATGCATATACATATCACTCTGCTCTCTCTTTCTTCTTACAATATAAACTAATTTATCTGTATTTTTATAATTAACACCATTTTTTGTGATTGTTTATATATACATCTAATGCTGAAGTCCAAAAAAGAGTGTTTGGCATTAAATGAAAAAAAAAAGTGATTTTGTTGATTCTGATGTTTGGCTCACCTCCAGGTCGTTGAAAAACAGACGTGAATCTGCCAAGTTGAAGATCATCTCCTCCATCCACAAGCCCAGAGACACAGCCTTGCCATCTTCTTACAATATAAACTAATTTATCTGTATTTTTATAATTAACACCATTTTTTGTGATTGTTTATATATACATCTAATGCTGAAGTCCAAAAAAGGGTGTTTGGCATTAAATGAAAAAAAAAAGTGATTTTGTTGATTCTGATGTTTGGCTCACCTCCAGGTCGTTGAAAAACAGACGTGAATCTGCCAAGTTGAAGATCATCTCCTCCATCCACAAGCCCAGAGACACAGCCTTGCCAGAGTCCTGGATCAAAACACAGAAAGCACATCAAATTAGTTTTCATACCTGGTTTGTGACAGGTGATGATTGCATTATCTCAGTCGGAGAGGGAGCGTGTGGTGCAACAGGTTTTTGTCCAACAAGAATGCTGATCACTCAGCGCAGTCACTGTGCTTTCAGTCAGAAGCGTGTCAAACTACTTCTCTTTCTCTTGTTTTCTCTTCATGTTGTAGGTGAAGCTAACATAAGCTAAGGCATTGTGTGCTCCCGTTCCATGCAAGCTGCGTAACTAGCCGCTAACTCCTCCGTTTGGCAGCGGATCAAGCTGCAGGTGTCAGCCAGAGGTTAGTGTCAGATTAACCGCAAAACAGCTCTTCCTCTACACCTAATCATTGTGCTTTAATTAAGATAATAAGCTTTAATCTGCCGTCATGAATGGACGCCTTTATTACAGGTGGCAGTCAAACACAGAATAATAGATGTACCACTTTAGAATTACGACTGATGGGTTTTTAGGAAGGACTGTAATGAAGTTACGACATATGCTATTTAAAAAAGATAAGGGGGGGGGTCCTGCATCCAAATGCAATCCAAAATGCATTTGTAAATATATGATGCATTTGTAAATATATGTAAATATATGATGAAATTACAGCTATAGCTATAATTAGCTATATATATTTCTTATTATAAAAATATTGAGTTAATAATTTTGTATATTTTCATGATATATTTTGGTGATTTGTTTGTTTAAAATAAAATAAAAAATATTATATTTATATTTATACTTGAGCTCATACATAAATGTACCATCAGAACAATGGGAAAATATTCTGCCCACTGGTCACTCTTTTGCGACTAACTTTCTCACATGAGCGCATAATTTGGTCGCAGTTTTTTTTTTCTACAACATGGTATTAATCAATGCATGCTGATGAACTTTTATCATAGTTTATAGTTATATGGTAATGAGGGTTCAACATTCCACCCGTTCTTTTTCATCATTATCATGTGTGACCCTGGACCACAAAACCAGTCATAAGGGTCAATTTCTTGAAATTGAGATTTCTACATCATCTGAAAGCTGAATAAATAATCTTTCCATTGATGTATGGTTTGTTACGATAGGACAATATTTGGCCGAGATACGCACTTTCACTTTCGAATTTGCGATCTTGGTGTCACGTTTTACAAAAAAAAAATAATTGTCTGTTTTGCTTATATCTATACACCTTTCACTTTTTAGGACTAAAACAAAAGATGGATTCATTGTTATTCTTAATTAAAAAGCACAACAACAATAAAACAGTAAGCTATATTGACAAACTAGCTTACATATCGTTTATTAACAAAAACGAATAAGACGAGGCATGACATACATGCTATATTATATACCAACTAATAAATTACAGAATGTTTAGAAAACACTGAGGAATCACATAAATAAAAAACAAAAACAGTAAAGAAAGCCTCCATAGCGTAAAGATAACAAGCTTTTCAAAACGAAAACAAAAAGAAAAGTAAAACTAAACTGTGTTTAAAAAACACATTAGCGTAAACGGGTGTCTTTCATCACCCTGAGAGGTTCTGTATTCAGTAGGTCGAGTCTTGCTTTTGGCCAATCAGCACAAACAGGCTGTTTACAGTGATGAGCTTATGGCTTTGACATAAAGTGCATATAAAAAAGTGTGTTAAATATCCTGTTACTTAAAGATGCGAAATCCGAGCCAACGCAATCGCGGCTCTTTGTCTTGACCGTAAGCGGCCTTGTCATGACACACATCAAACTTGTTCCTATTTAACTCCAGCCCAATTTCAGTTTCATATGGATGTTTTCTTTGATTTGCTATCTCCAGTGGATTCCTGCCGCAGTACTAAGCTACTCTGGAGTCTTTTTCCTGGATCTGAAATTAGACACATTAGTCACGGCAACATTTCTGCAGTTCTCAAAAAGATCTGCGCGCTCGAGACGGCCAGGCGTTTCTCAGAGTCTCTTATGTGCCACGTCAAATCCGCAAGGGATCGTGGGAATTCAAAATAGACTGCGGGCCAAGAAAAAGAAACATGACCATTGTTTCCTCATCAGCTGCCTGGAGATTGCGTAGAAGTTCATGAGCTGTCAATCAAACCAGAGCGGCCAAATAACAAGTCTGGAGCCGAAGGAGCGTCATTATATCTTTCACTGTTCATTTAGTTCTTCCGCATTTACTGTCTGCGGACGACGTTACTCTGAAACAGCTGTGGAACATATTTATTTATTATGAAAAAGAGATCATGAGGGACTTTTGTTGCTGCTAACTTTTAGGCCTTTAAATGGATTAAAATCAACCAAATGTGATTTGTACGCATTTACATTTTTGCTGAAATTTATTCTGCTGTATATATGATATATAAACCAGCATTCAAAAATTAAGTGATGGTAAGATTAATATTTCTATTCAGTAAGGATGCATTAAAGTGATCAAAAAAGTCAGTAAAGACTGTTTCAAATAAATGCTGTTCTTTAAAAATGTCTAATTTTCAAAAATCCTGAAAAATACAATGCATCACGGTTTTCACAAAAATATGAAGCAGCACAACTGTTTTCTTAATAATAATCAGAAATGTTTCTAGAGCAGGAAATCAGTATATTAGAATGATTTCTGAAGAATCATGTGACACTGAAGACTGGAGTAATGATGCTGAAAATTCAGCTTTGATCACAGAAATAAATTACACTTTAAAATATATTCACATATAAACTAGCTTCTTTATATAATATTTTACTGTTTTTACTGTATTTGTGATCAAATAAATGCAACCTTGGTAAGCATAAGATACTTTAAAAACATTAAAAAGCTTACTGACCCCAAACTTTTGAATAGTATTGTACATAAGGTGAAATACAGATTCCTGAGTAATATATATATATTGTATTAAATATATATATATAACTAACATATATACATACACACACACACACATATAAATATATATATATATATATATGTATATGTATATGTATGTATAACTTAAATATATATATTACCAATTTACCAAAATAGCATATATATTAATAACAACTAAATTATATATATATATATATAATTTAGTTGTTATTAATATATATGCTATTTTGGTTTGAATTTAAAACTATATTGTGGTTTATACTGTTATTGTTAAATAGAATTACACATACCACATTAAAGATTTAATACAAATACAAAATGTAAATTTAAATGTAAATGAAAAAGAAAACGTAAATAAATAAACCTGAGTTTTGTCTTCCAAAACTAAAGCAGTGTGAAGTTAAGTTGTGTAAGTGGGAGAACTGGTTTGTACCTTGCCGAAGCGTGTGGAAAATGTCCCCGTCAGGAGCGAGTGGAAAATAATGATGGTCTCATCCAGGTCCCAAATAAACACTCTCTACACACACACACACACACACACACACGATGAGCATGAGCACAAATATAATCTGCTTACTCATCAAGAAAGGTATTTACTACAAAACACTGCATATTATCTCAGTGCTGTGTTTATGATAATAATTGCTGATAATCTTAGTCGGTTCAGCCTCATTTCACAGCTTATGGGCAGACAAACAAACGCTCTGTATCCATTGTTCATAAACATTTTACAGTTTTATTTGTCTGGTAATCAAATACCCATATCAATATTTTAATATACAACATTGAGAAATAAATGCAATAGATTCAATGGAGCAAAGAATACATAAATTAATCATTTTACTTCAGTCATTTTACCTTTTGTTCAAACCTGTATGACTTATGATGAGTTAGCAGAGTTTTGAAACTTTTATTGCCCTTATTTGTTTATTGTATGAAGAAGATTAACTTGGACATTCTGCTAAAAATCCATTCGAAAGAATGAAACTCATACAGGTTTGGAGCAACATAAGGGTGAATAAATGATGACAAAATGTTCATTTTGGGTGAACTATCTGTTTAAACTAGTGCTGTCAAACAATTAATCGCAGCCAAAATAAAAGTTTTTGTTTACATACTATATGTATGTGTACTGTGTTTATTTATTATGTATATATAAATACACACACATACAGTATATACAGTATTTTGAAAATATTTACATGTACATGCATTTATATTATTATATTTTATATTATATATTAATATATTTAATATATAAACAGCATATTTTTCTTAAATATACTGTATACATGCACATGTTTGTATTTATATATGCATAATAAATATACACAGTACACGCTCATATATTATGTAAACAAAAACTTTTATTTTGGATGCGATTAATCATTTGACAGCACTAGTTTAAACTCATTGTCTATTCCTGTGAGTGTTGAATGAGGTTGTTGCCAGACATCATTGCACAACTCTGGGTTGGATGTGAGAGTAATCCCTGCGGTCCGGAGCACAGGAATGTTAATGAAAGGTGTTGTGTCAGGGACGCCGTGAAGGCCAGCGTCTGTACCTCAATCTCAGAGTCCAGAGGGGGGACGGGGTCATTGGCCCTCTTCCTGCCTCTCAGCTTCCCATCTGAGCTGCGTCTCGCTGGAGCGCCTTCCTGCTCCTTTCCTGGAGTCGGAGGACTCGTGGGAGCGTGGTACTCTGCTGTTACACACACACACACACACGAGCATGTGATGACATGTCATATACATACAGACATACAACCAAATATCTCAATACCAAAGCAAATAGTCCTGAAAGTTTCAAGTTAGCACTATTATATTAAATACTTAAGTACATCACACATAATAAGTCATATACTGTACAAAAAGAGACTATTTTTAAAATATAGCATAATTTGGTTACTTTAATGTTTTGTAGTATCTTTGTAACATTGAAACTTCCTTTGTTTTATACTACTATAAATTAAGTATATAGA